GCGAAAAGTTTCTATCCGGCCCGCGAGATGTTTAGAAGAAATTATAAATAAATATTTTTCGATGTAATTCGTCTAGTTTAAATTGAATATTATTTTCTGAAGTGTTGCGGCAGCAATGACAGGAAAAAATAAGGGAGTCATTTCCTTATTCAAACAAAAAATGGGAGAACAGAATTTTTCTAAATTATTTATATCTCATCGCATCATCCATCAAGAAAATCTATGTGCAAAAGCTATGCAATTAGAAAATGTAATGTCTAGCGTATCCAACTACATAGTGCTGTTTTTATTGTGTTTAAAGTCACTTAGATTTTACAAATAGGTGAGCCGTTCACAGCCCGGCACACGCATTTGTAAAATCTAAGTAACTCATACAACATGGAATTCATATAAAACGGAATAATCAACGGTGTTATAGGGGAGGTCGACTGTAGTAATTAATTTCTTTTTATTTATTTATTTATTTATTTCATATTTGCAGACTAAAAATTTACAGGTCACAAGGTGGCAATTAACTACTATGGCCCGCGGAAAAAACGTAAAATTTATTCTGGCCCATGTTATAAAAAAGGTTGCCCACCCTTGATATATATAATACATTTGATGGGCATATTTGTTTTATGTCATGTAAATTTGACTATATTAAAGGCAATTTCAATATATAATAAAGATATAAAACTGATCTTTATTGAAATGAATGTTTTCAACATTTATTTTGTTATTTTTATCACACATTAAATTCAAACTAATATAAATTTTGACTAAAATAATAATACTGATTTTTATTTTCTAAAATAAAAATAAAACAATACTAAAATATATTATTAATTAATAGTAAATGAATAAAACTTTGAACTGATGCTGAATAATTTATTAAACTAAAAAACAATTGCTTAAAAAATTAAAAAATATAAGTATTTATGGATGAAACCTTTTTCAAGGCCTTTATCCCAGTTTCAGATTTCCAACTCCTAGTCTTCTCTGTAAACAGGAGTAAGCTTCCCTGCCTCATCCTCAAGCATGGCTGAGATAACACAGCCTTTCTTCCCAAACTGGCATGCAACAGTAGCTTAATCACTGTATCACTTCAGAATAGACCACTGGTGAATGGAATCTAGTTGGTCTGTTGAGGTGAGTCTTATGCTACTGTCATATCTGGATGTTGAAAAAGAGGGTGTTTTCTCAACCATATATGAGGGGGCAGTTCATTCATACTTGCACAGTAGACTATAGTTGGAAATCTGGAGATGAGATGAAAGTTCTCAAAAACAAAAAAAAAATGTTTAATTCACAAACACATTTAAAACTTTTGATTTGTCACCATTGAAATCTCTGGGACTGAAAGACTTTTTGTGGGCTACAATTTCCACTCTCACTCAACCAAACAAATAACTTAATAAAATTATTAAAAAATTATAATTATTAATTTCCATTCTCACATGAAGAGATGCAGTCTAGTGCTGCCATTTCTATTCTATGCAGGGAGATTCAGTCTGCAATTCGTGAGTTGCTCAGCAGTCAGCCAAAAGTCTTTTTTATTTCTAGCACTCATGCAATGGTATCGTCCTGGTACAATGCACTGACATCAAGGGATTATTTTGAGACTTAGATAAGTAGGCTATATCTTTATTTCATGATGTTCTAGAGCACTTTTGCAGTTACTTAATGACTGACTCTTATATTTATTTACTAATAAATTTCAACATTATTATAATTTGAATGAATACATTGTAATTCTGAATATTTATTAATTAGCAATTCTGTAAAATTTGTTGATTTTATTTTGAATTGGTTCTCTAGAATCTCAAGTAAAATCTAATGATGATTAAGCTTTAGTAATGCTTGACTCTGTAGATGATCATTAGAAATTATGAATTTATGTGTATGAATATATTTAATTATTCTTTTTGGCTATTTAACATGTATTTTATTTAATAACTAGCTGTTACTCGCTGCTTCACCCATGCGGATTTTGCAATTTGATAGAAATAACTGTGGGGGACCAGGGGCCGTCAAAAATTAGTTTACGTTAGAGTAGGGTAGGGTCCTGCCACCAGGTGTGTTTTGTCGGACACACCGCCAATTCAGTCAAAATCGATAGTTAAGGCGCGAGGGTAAGAGTCACTCTGAAGTCCGGGAATGAGCCTCTCAGGAGGATGAATGCAAAGTCAAATACAAATAACAAGAGTTTATTTTCAAAAATTATGTTCTGCATAACACTCTTAAGATCCGATTCAAGAAATCTGCCTATTTCTATCTATAAAACGAGGGGGCTGCCTAACAGGGAGGGTATCCGAACTACAACATACCAGGAAAAAGAGAGCCGTCTTCTCTTGTAAGTCCAGTCAGTCCCCTGATCTAGTTCTTTCTTCCTTTTTGCTTGGTCCTTCACTGATGTCTGCCGGTAAATGGCGTTTGCTTCGAAATGGAATTTCCTTGCGATTATGGCGGGATAGGTTCACTCAAGTCTACTGCTGATGTCCGCCGCTGATGCCTTCCTGGTATGGGATGGTTCGTTGAGAGTCTGGAGAGGCCGGTACTTTCTACCGTTGTCTGCCAAGGAGCTCTGTCTGTGTCTGGATTTGTGCCTCTTTTATATGCTTTTCAGCGCAGGAGAGTTATGATATGGCTTACTATCGTATTGGTTTGACTTTTGAGCCGAGTCATTACAGAAGCAAAACTGTTTTCACTGACAAATC